GTATTTTTTCACCAGCAGTAGGGACAGCAGGAGACTGCTACTAACGTGGCTCCATGGACATAGCAAGCGGGTGGACTAGCTTTAGTCTCTGCTTCATCTGCTGCATGTTGTTGCAATAGACTGTACATACTGCACTTAATCCACTCATACCGCCGAACTTGTGATCATTTTTACTGATTCATAAAATAATTATACTGAAAAAAGAGGATGTGACTGAATATACCCATGATTGTGATAATAAAATATTTGATAAAAGAAAAACGTCCTAATGTTTTATAATCAAGAAGACTTACTTTATTAATCCGACGACACTTGTCAAACTTGGTCACTGCTTTTGTAAACCTCCCCACATCGTTTTTCATTTCTTGTCTGGCCTATAATTATCATGAACTAAACATGTACATTTTCAGAACCATGACTCATTTTAGTCTGCACTCTGCCGCTGTCATTGGCAGCTTGCAGTCCTCCCTTCTCGGAAAAACTTGTAAATAATGAAGTTTCCAAATCTGATGCGGCTTGCCTTAAAGTTCAATGGTGAGGATTCTTTAGAGTCCTTCATCGGTCTGTCAACATTTCAGTGGAAACACAAAAGCTCCCCCGAACACACATACAGTGCCTTCAGAAAGTATTCATACCCCTTGACTTATTCCACATTTTGTTGTGTTACAACCTGAATTCAAAATGAATTAAATTGATTTTTTCTCTCTCACACATCTACACACAATACCCCATAATGACAGTCAAAACATGTTTTTAGAAATTTTAGCAAATGTTTTGAAAATATAATACAGAAATATCTCATTTACATAAGTATTCACACCACTGAGTCAATACATGTTAGAATCACCTTTGTCAGCAATTACAGCTGTGAGTCTTTCTGGGTACGTTTCTAAGAGCTTTGCACACTTGGATTGTACAATATTTACATTTACATTTACATTTTAGTCATTTAGCAGACGCTCTTATCCAGAGCGACTTACAGTTAGTGAATACACATATACATATATATATATTTTTTTTATTTTTATATACTGGCCCCCCGTGGGAAACGAACCCACAACCCTGGCGTTACAAACGCCATGCTCTATCAACTGAGCTACATCCCTGCCGGCCATTCCCTCCCCTACCCTGGACGACGCTGGCCAATTGTGCGCCGCCCATGAGTCTCCCGGTCGCGGCCGGCTGCGACAGAGCCTGGATTCGAACCAGGATCTCTAGTGGCACAGTTAGCACTGCGATGCAGTGCCTTAGACCACTGCGCCACTCAGGAGTATCTGCATTTGTACAAATACAGTATCTGTATTTGCACATTATTATTTTTTAAATTCCTCAAGCTCTTTCAAGTTGGTTGTTGATCATTGCTAGACAGCCATTTTCAAGTCTTGCCATAGATTTTCAAGCCGATTTAAGTCAAAACTGTAACTAGGCCCTCCGGGGTGCGTGTATGTACCCACCAGTGTCCGTGACCGCCTGCTGATCTGGGCGCACACCACCCTTACGTCTTCAAGACATCAGAAGCCAAGGTGGGCCACCAGTATTTTTGGGCTAGAGAGTGCAGGGTGCGTGTAATAACAGAGTGCCCTGCTGTAAGGGTGGTGTGCGCCCAGATCAGCAGGCGGTCACGGACACTGGTGGGTACATACACGCACCCCGGAGGGGCGTTGTCAGGCACTGGGTCCTCCTGAGCCGCCAGGCGGATGTCTTCGTCCACATCCCAAACGACAGGAGCAACGATGAGAGACGAGGGCAGGATAGGACCCCTCAGATCCTTCCTTTCTCCGGTATGGTGCATCCTGGAGAGTGCGTCGGCCTTCACATTCTGGGATCCTGGGCGGTAGGACAGAATGAATTGGAAGCGAGTGAGAAATTGGGCCCACCTGGCTTGACGAGAGTTCATCCCTTTCGCTGCCCGTATGTGCTCCAAATTCCGGTGGTCAGTAAGAATCCCTAAAGGATGACTGCACCCTCCAGCCAGTGTCTCCATTCCTCCCGAGCGAGGACCACCGCCAACAGCTCCCTGTCTCCAACTCTATAGTTCCTCTCTGCGGGGGTAAGCTTTTTAGAGACAACGGCACAGGGAAAGATTTTCTCTGGCTTACTGTGCCGCTGGGAGAGGACCGCACCCACACCCTCCTCCGATGCGTCCACTTCCAGGATGAAAGGACGAGATGGATCTGGATGTTTTAGGATGGATGCTGTGGTGAACCTCTCCTTCATTTGAAGGCAGCGTCAGCCTCAGGGTTCCAGGCCAGCTTCTGAGGCCCATCCTTAAGGAGAGAGGTGAGCGGGGCGGCTATGGAGCTGAAGGACCTGATGAAACGCCGGTAGAAATTAGCAAAGCCCAGGAAGCTCTGTAGGCCCTTGATGGTGGTGGGAACTGGCCATGACCTGATGGCGTCCGTCTTCAATCCTTCCATGAACACCCCCTGAGGACTGATCCGGTATCCCAGGAAGGAGATGGCCTGTTGGTGGAATTCGCATTTCTCCCCCTTCACCAACAGGCTGTGTTCCCGGAAGCGGAGTAGGACAGCTCGGACATCTCTGACGTGCTCCTCGAACTTAGCTGAGTAGATCAGGATATCGTCGATGTACACCACCACCTGTCTACTCAGCATGTCCCGGAACACGTCATTGACGAAGGACTGGAACACAGATGGTGCATTGGCGAGGCCGTAGGGCATGACGCAGTATTCATAGTGGCCTGAGGTAGTGCTGAATGCCGTCTTCCACTCGTCTCCTTCCCGGATTCGGATCAGGTTGTAGGCACTCCTCAGATCCAACTTGGTAAAGTACCAGGCCCCTCGTAGCTGCTCGATGGCCGACGGAACCAGAGGGAGGGGGTACCGGTACTTGGTGGTGACTGCGTTCAGCCCCCTGTAGTCAATGCATGGTCTCAGTCCTCCGTCTTTTTTGGCTATGAAGTAGAAGCTGGCAGAGGCAGGAGAGGTAGAGCGTCTGATGAACCCCTGTTTCAGGGTCTCCGCCACATACTTCTCCATGGCCTCAGTCTCCGCCATGGAAAGGGGGTAAATGCAACTCTTCGGTCCCTCCAGCAGGTCAATGGCACAGTCCCAGGGCCTGTGAGGAGGGAGACACGTAGCCTTTAATGAAGAGAAGACATCGGAGAGATCTGCGTACTCACGTGGAATGTTGGGCTGGAGGGCGGACTCCGGACTCTCCACTGACGTGGAACAACAAACCACCGGCAGGCAGGTCTTCCGGCATGAGGTGGACCAGGCTATGATCCTCTTGGTGCTCCAATGGTGGGGTTGTGTAGTCTGAGCCAGGGCAATCCCAAGACGATCCGGTGAAGGGGTGACGTGACGATGTGGAATGACAGCTCCTCGTGGTGCTCCGGTAGTGGGGGAATGGTGATGGTGAGAGTGACATGCGTAATGGTGCCTGATCCAAGGGGTTTATTGTCCAGTGAGGTGATGTGTAGCAGAGATGGCAGTGGCACGGTGGACAACCCCCATTCAGAGACCAGCTCCCTATCTATAAGGTTCCCCGCTGATCCGGAATCTATCATTGCGGTAGAAATGGAAGAGAAGGAATAACCAGTCACCGTTATGGGAACTAAAAACAATGGTTTTGTGATAGGAGCTGACGTAACAAACACGGAGCGGCGACGGGAGTCATACCGCCTAGATAGGGAGCCGCCAGAAGATCTGTGGTCCGTGGTGGTGTAGGGGGTGCTGCCCACCTCCATGGGTGAGGACTCGGAAACAAGGCGGCTTCCATAGCTCAGATGGGGTGAGCGTCGAAGCTCCGGGAGGTGTTGGGAACGCCCTCTCTCTCTCAACATGTCGTCAAGACGGATGGACGGGGTGATGAAGGTATCAAGGTCCATCTCGTCGTCCCGAAATGCGAGTTCCTTCTTGATATCCTCCCGTATGCCTCTCCTGAAGGCCGTGCGCAGAGCACGCTCATTCCAGCCGGAAGACACCGCCAGCGTGCGAAAGCTCAGAGCGTACTCGGACACGGGCCTTTCTCTCTGTTGTAGATGGAGGAGACGCTCACCCCCATCCTTTCCCTCCGTGGGGTAGGGAAGTGCCACTGCCTCCTCTCCTTCCCAGACTGCCGTGGCCCAATCCAGCGCCTTTCCTTTAAGAAGCGAAATCACCAGCGCTATCCTGGCTTGGTCAGATGGATATGCCCCAGGCTGACGCGCCAGATAAAGGGAAACCTGTAGCAGGAAGCCGCTACATTTAGTAGTTTTACCGTCATAGCGCTCCGGTAGGGCGAGGGTTCCCGCAGGAGTGGGTGATAGCACGGGAACAGGTGGATTGGGGGCACTCGCCGCTCCCTGAGGTGGAACCGGAGCGCTAGGCAGATTATGCAGAGTTTGGAGCACTTCCTGCATGGCGGTGTTCAACTGGGCAAGCTGCTGCTGGTGCTGGTTGAGGCACTGGGAAACTCCTGCTGCATCCATTTTCGTTTGGTGTGTGATTCTGTGACGCGTACGGAGTATACGAAGAGGCAGGACGCAGACGCAGGAATTAACAAGGTCAAGATTTACTTAATAATAAACAAGAGAAATAACAAAGATAGAGTAAACGACACGAAGCTTAACAATCCCACACAGCATCATCCAGAACAGTCCAGGGCTAAATAGGGGTGGTAATGAGATGATGAGGTGCAGGTGCGCTGGAGGTGATTAGGGTGCGTTGGGTTTCCATTCCGGTGTTGCCGAGGTGGTGTGCTCAGACCGGTGGCTCAGTAAACCGGCGAATCAGAGCGCCGGAGGGGAGCAACGGGAGGAGACGTGACATTGTGACTTTTTAAGCACATTTTTACTCCTGAACTTATTTAGGCTTGCCATAACAAAGGGGTTGTAAATTGATTGACTCAAGACATTTCAGCTTTACGTTTATTTATTTATTTTTGTCAAAATTTCTAAAAACATAGTTCCCCTTTGACATTATGGGGTACTGTGTGTGGTCTAGTGACACAAAATCTCAATTTAATAAATTTTAAATTCAGGCTGTAACGCAACAAAATGTGGAAAAAGTCAAGGGGTGTGAATGCTTTCTGAAGGCACTGTGATGTATGCATGCAAAAGACACATTTGACATGTACCAGTTCTTAATCTACTAAATCTTTGAATGTTCTGAGCGTATCAAAAGGTTTTAACCAGAAATATTTCACTTTCATGAACTTTCACAAACATGTCAATCAATATGACTAGATTGCAACAACAATAAAATACAAATATACATGGCTCTATAAAAGTGACATAACAAAGTAATTGGCACTTTTCGTGCCACTTACCTGCATATAGTAAAATATATAGTAATGCAAATATAAATACATTATTTCTTGATATAGTATACTTCTCTTTCTCATAAACAGCAGCCGTTTGAGAAATATGACACATCACCACAGAAAGCTGCAATATTGTGATCTTCTGGAAAGCGTCTCTCATAGGCTTGTGGACAGGGCCCACAGCAGGCCTAGCAGTAACAAAGTCAGACAGTTGGCCCCAGCCGCCACGGCTGAGTTAATGAACTTGATGCGGCCCTCCACGGTTGGGTACACCCGCTTCATCTCCTTGATGTAGTTGGAGAAAACCGAGATGTCCAGATTACCTATAGGCGAGAGTATAGAAAATATTACTTTAATCCTCTTTTGCTATAGCAGGGTTATAGCATTATTTTATTTTTTTACTTGCAGTACAGTATTCACTCACTGTATGGCTTGGGGTAAGGCATCAAGGTTGCCACAACCAATATTAGCTAAAACCATGTTCATTAACAAGATCATTTGAACCTGCTGTGAATATGTTTACTGCGTTGTAATGGCATATTTTCTAAGCCTGTATGACATGCCATCTTTCGGTGCAATATGCCGCCATAAGCAAAGTCAACAAGTATTTTAAGCCTGTACTCGTGAAGCAATAACGGGTCTCTTCAAGTGCTTAAGCGTTTCTATAACTAGGAGACTTTATTTACAAGTCCCTTCACAGATATTTACTGTAAATTGAAGGCCATTCATTTTGATCTTCTCTGTAATGTCATGTCATATATAGTACTGAAGTCTTACAACAGCAGAGCCAATGCCTTCATCTGTGCAGTGTTGTAGCCTTTAGAGGACCAATACAGAAGTATTTTTTCATGTGTGAAAAATGTTTAAGGAAAGGTTGTTTAGATTGTACGTACAGTAATATGTTTCTGTCAAAGACTTGCTTTGGGACTGGGAAACAACTCTGAAGTGTTTGACAGACCCAGAGTACCCACAATGCATTGTAACACCATCTGTTACCGACATACACCAGACCCTGTAAGTGAACGTTTTCTAATGTAACACTGAATGGCGAACAATTCTAATGTAACGCTGAATGTAACTTTAAAGGTTGTTTGTTGCTCATAAAGAAAATTAGTATTTTGCTCATAGGGATTTTGCTAGTCAAATCGAGGAGGATGACACCATGGTCTCATAAACTAGTGTGTTGTCATAACCTTGACACAGATGCTCACAAGATGAGACAGCCACGTCCAACGGCCCATTAAATTGAGATTACTACACCTCAAAGGCATTTTCTGAAAACAGAGAGAATTGTATTCTCATTTGGGACTTTTCATTTGGATGTTTGTCTTCCAAAATAGTTACTACATGAACCTATTTGTCATTTGTAATGAGGCACAGGGGTTATTTCTTATTTTTTCCATTCAATTTCACTACCAACAGGGCCTCAGTACATACATACAGTGCATTCGGAAAGTATTCAGATACCTTGACCTTTTCCATATTTTGTTACGTTACAGCCATATTCTAAAATGGATTAACTTGTTTTCCCCCCCCTCATCAATCTACACGCAATACACCATAATGACAAAGCAAAAACAGGTTTTTAGGAATTGTTGCACATTTATTAAAAATAAAAAAACGGAAATATCACATTTACATAAGTATTTACGTATTTACTCAGTCTTTGTTGAAGCACCTTTGGCAGCGATTACAGCCTTGAGTCTTCTTGGGTATGATGCTACAAGCTTGGCACACCTGTATTTGGGGAGTTTCTCCTATTCTTCTCTGCAGATCCTCTTAAGTTCTGTCAGGTTGGATGGGGAGCATCGCTGCACAGCTATTTTCAGGTCTCTCCAGAGATGTTCGATTGGGTTCAAGTCCGGGCTCTGGCTGGGCCACTCAAGGACATTCAGAGACTTGTCCTGAAGCCACTCCTGCGTTGTCTTGGCTGTGTGCTTAGGGTCGTTGTCTTGTTGGAAGGTGAACCTTCGCCCCAGACTGAGGTCCTGAGCGCTCTGGAGCAGGTTTTCATGAAGGATCTCTCTGTACTTTGCTCCGTTAATCTTTCCCTCAATCCTGACTAGTCTCCCAGTCCCTGCTGCTGAAAAACATCCCCACAGCATGATGCTGCCACCACCATGCTTCACCATAGGGATGGTGCCAGGTTTCCTCCAGACGTGACGCTTAGCATTCAGCCCAAAGAGTTCAATCTTGGTTTCATCAGACCAGAGAATCTTGTTTCTCATGGTCTGAAAGTCCTTTAGGTACCTCACTGACCAAGGCCCTTCTCCCCCGATTGCTCAGTTTGGCCGGGCGGCCCGCTCTAGGAAGAGTATTGGTGGTTCCAAACTTCTTCTATTTAAGATTGATGGAGACCTTCAATGCTGCAGACATTTTTTGGTACCCTTCCCCAGATCTGTGCCTCGACACAATCTTGTCTCGGAGCTCTACGGACAATTCCTTCGACCTCATGGCTTGGTTTTTGCTCTGACATGCACTGTCAACTCTGGGACCTTATATAGACAGGTGTGTGCCTTTCCAAATCATGTCCAATCAGTTGAATTGACCACAGGTAGACTCCAATCAAGTTGTAGAAACATCTCAAGGATGATCAATGGAAACAGGATGCACCTGAGCTCAATTTCGAGTCTCATAGCAAATGGTCTGAATACTTACGTAAATAAGGTATTTCCTTAAAAAAAAAAAAAAAAAATTAGCAAACATTTCTAAGAACCAGTTTTTGCTTTGTCATTATGGGGTATTGTGTCTAGATTGATAAAACAATTCATTTTAGAATAAGGCTGTAACGTAACAAAATGTGGAAATAGTCAGGGGGTCTGAATACTTTCCGAATGCACTGTATACAATTTTGTTTCTCGAGTATATTCAGTGAGGTGTAATGTAATGATTAGAGCTCACATAATTAAGCAATAAGGCACACCAGGCAGTGCTGTATCATGAATGCAGTCACAGGTAAATGGCGTTGTTAGGGTTCCACCAGAAGATATAGTCTGGACAAAAATCTGATTGTTAGTTCTTTTGGTCATGTTGCTACAGACACGACCCAGTCGTTAATTATTTTTGCATAGTTGATATGCAAATGACTGGTCGTCTGTTCTAAACAAAATGGTTTCTTATCTTGACTTTTTTTGTATATAAAGTTCATATTATTATCACATATGACCGTCAAGCACTTCTAGACATCAGGTTGACAGTTACCAACCTTGATTTCGACTTCAAATCAAATCACATTTTATTGGTCACATACACATATTTAGTAGATGTTATTGCGGGTGTAGCAAAATGCTTCTGTAGCGAAATACTACTTAAACTTAGACTCAGCTGTTCCACTGTTCATACCGGACCCTATTCCTTTGTTACATGGGCTACCCAAATCCCGCAGGCGTAAAAGCGGGAGACGTGGTGGAGTCCTAGTGAATTTTAGCGAAGAGAAAACCGAACGGCGCTCCCCTTCTTTCTATTGGCAAATGTCCAGTCACTCGAGAATAAGATGGATGAGCTTCGTTCGAGAGTCTCCTATCATAGAGACTTGAAAAGCTGCAAAATATGAAAAATGTATGAAAAATGTATGCACTCACTAATTGTAAGTCGCTCTGGATAAGAGCGTCTGCTAAATGACAAAAAAATTACTACTAATAATAATAATATTATGTCTTACTGAAACGTGGCTGGAAGATAACACTATGCACGTAGTACTCGGTGGATTCCCCATGCAGCGGCAGGATCGGACGGCGGCTTCAGGGAAAATGAAAGGAGGCGGTGTGTTTTTTCATAAATAACAACTGGTGTGCTGCTTCAAGTGTGAAGGAAATCTGGACCTAATATAGAATACCTCAGAGAGTTCTCATCCGTAATTATCACGGCTGTTTACATTCCTCCACAGGCCAACACTAATTTAATGTGGGGAGACTTAAAACCGTTCTACCTCACTTCTACCAACAAGTCTCCTACACCACTAGCGCGCTAAAACTCTAGACCACTTTTATTCTACCCACAGAAACACATACAAGGCCCTCCCTCATCCTTTAATCAGCTAATCTGACCATGACTCCATTATCCTGCCTTCTGTTTACAAAGAAAAGCTCAGACAGGAAGCACCAGTGATGCACTCAATACAGAAGTGGTCGGACGAAACAGACACAAGGCTACAAGACTGTTTTGCTAGCACAGACTGGGATATGTTCCGGGATTCAGCAGATACATTTGAGGAGTTTACGATGTGCACTGACGATGTTCTCCCCACAGTGACTATAAGAACGTATCCCAACCAATCCACATCGACGGGGTTATTGTCAAGTGGGTTGAGAGCTTTAAGTTCCTTCGCATCCACATCACTAAGGACTTAACATGGTCCACACACACCCGCACAGTCGTGAAGAGGGCACAGCAGCGCCTCTTCCCCCTCAGGAGGCAGAAAATATTTGGCATGGGCCCTCAGATTCTCAAAAAGTTCTACAGCTACATCATCGAGAGCATCTTCACTGGCTGCATCACCGCTTGATATGGCAATTGCACCGCCCTTGACCGCAAAGCGCTACAGAGTGGTGTGGACAGCCCAGTACATCACTGGGGCCAAGCTCCCCTTCATCCAGGAACTCTATACCAGGTGGTGTCAGAGGAAGGCCCGAAACATTGCCAAAGACTCCAGCCACCCAAGCCATAGACTGTTCACTCTGCTAACATCCAGCAAACGGTACCAGAGCATCGGCTCTCGGACCAACAGGCTCCGTGATGGCTTCTACCCCCAAGCCATAAGATTGCTGAATAGCCAGACTGCTAAATAGTCAATTAAGGGTACCCAAACTATCTGCACTGACTCTATCTTGCACTGACCCTACGCACACTTAGTAGACTTTATATACACACACCATATACACACTCACTCACACACACTCTACACTGTCACTCCCACACAAATCCCTCACACATTCAAGCACTATGGACGCACACACACACACAACACACACGCTTACCGACACAACACAAACAAACATACATACATAGACACACTCACACACTTTTACAATCATCATTTGCTGCTGCTACTCTGTTCTTTATTTTACTCTTATTATTATCTGTCCTGATGCCTAGTCACTTTACCCTGCCTTCATGTACATATCTACCTCAAGTACCTCGTACCGCTGCACATTGATCTGGTACTGGTACTCCCTGTATAGAGCTCCATTCTTGTGTATTTTATTTGATTCCTCTTGTGTTAGTTACAAAAAAAATTTAAACTCTGCATCGTTGGGAAAGGTTCATAAGCAAGCATTTCACTGTAAAGTCTACACCAGTTGTATTCGGCGCATGTAATAAATACAATTTGATTTGATTTGCTATGCATGCTGGATAGCCAACTTCAGCTAACTCAGTCATGTCAAACATTGAACCTGGAATAACAGTACACTAGCTGCATGTTTGTTTGTTAGAGATTTTTTTCTATTGGCATTTCCTTGGATATGTCCATGATAATGACGTTGATGCGTAATTTCGACTGGCTCAGAAAAAGTTGTCTCGTTTGGGCACTGTTCACTCTCCATGATGTATAGTACAGAGATCGAAATTCAAAAGTGAAATATTGTTTTTGAGGTCGGACAGGCAGACAGTGAGGCTTATATTAACCCCCGCTGTACCAAACTAAATGCTAGGCTGGAAGCAAAGGGAAATAATGTGCGAGTTGAGATAAATACAAGAGATCTTTCGACAGCAACATGAACATGATATTCTTATGAGGCACAGTGATCATTTTCAGATGGAACTGTTAGCAAGCATAGTGTGCCTGTGAAAACCAATACAGCAGGGCTTGGATCGCTGCTTGTCCAATCAGCATCTAGGATCCAAACAACCAGTTTTATAATTTCCTATCCTCCATGACAGACAGTCATTTCTATGTGAAAGTTCCGTATCTTTGCACCTACCTGAACAGGCCCCTGTTCTGTTCAAACCTCACTTCAACCATCCCAACCTGCCCAATGGCTCACCAGTGTCATGTTTCAGTTTCTCCTCCTTGATCATGGTAAAACCATCTCCTCCGTCTGCGATGTAGGATGGTAGGACCAGCTTGTACAGCCTGTCTGGATCCAGGGATTCGTATCTGGGCACACGGCACTGAGAGCAGCGGAGGCTCAAGGACGTCACACGCTCCCCCACCGGCCGTGACAGGTCGTATTCAACATGGATTCCTGGGAAGTTGAAGCAGCCACAAAGGGATTCAGTATCAATCTTTTGGTGGCAGCAGTGGGATCCAAAAATACAATTTGTTGGTCAATACACTGCATACAAAAAGTACAGGAAGGAAATAAGTAAAATCTATAAAGACCATAGTGAATGTATTACAGGAGTGGCGTTTCTGTCAAAGGGATGTAAAAGAGAAATATAATGTACAGTATATCCTCCAATTAGATTTTCAACTACATTGCCCAAAATAATCACTTGGTACCTGAAACTTGAAGAAATTCTCCTCTGCTGCTCCCGTATCTTCGGACAGAGTTTTCAAAGGCCTTTTTCAACGTTGATCCCTTCAACTGCACCAGATCAAAAGTGCCCCCAAATGGTAAGACTGATAGAACTTCCTCCATGGTGATGGTGCCTTGAGAAAACAATGTAGAATAAATGTATGGTGTCCATATTAGGACAGCCTCACACTGTAGAAGTGAGACCCTTCATTTCCGAAGTCATGAATGGCATCGCTGTAAAGTGGCTGCTTTTTTCCACTTTAAAGTAACTGTTTAGTTAGTAGTATAAGGAGTTCTTAAATGAGTCGGCAGTACTTTCAAACACTTTATGAACCCATTATGAGTTAACATACCATTGTTGTGACGTTCATCTATCCCTGTCCTTATGCCTCCACTATTCAGGATGCATAAACTGACGTGATTCCACTGGATCTCATCTGCATACTTGATATTGTGATGAATCTAGAAGAGTCAGTGGAAACACAATGGTCACACACTTTTCAGCATAGGGGAAAGCCCTCAATCTGGGATAAGTCCACCTGTACTGGACAGCCCCTCATGAAGACTGAGATACTTCCACCTGGGCTGAGAATGATATTCACCATGATGAAAGCATCTGCCACTTACTCACCATTGCGTCACAGATGAGGTTCCCCAGGTTGCACTCTCGGAACCGACACTCCTTAAAGGTTCCATTGAGATACACCAGGGTTTTCCCCACGTACTGAGACGAGTACTTGGCCAAGTTCTTCTTCCAGTCCTCAACGTCAGCAAGGATACCTGGGTCTGAGAGAAAGAGATAGGAGTCATGTTGTTTTGTGTGAAAACATGGCTTTGAATGAATGTTCAACAAAAGAAAAAGGAAAGCAATGACTGCAGTTAGGCCTCGATGCAAACAGTGGATGTTTTGGCGGTGTTGGAGATGTAACTGCGGTATGAGCTGACAAATCGGTGAGCGGCTGCTCTTGTATGTCAAAAAACACTCTCTTCCTATTATCCCTTCTGTGTTAGAAGTTCAGACCGGCGATAGAAAGTGTAGGCTCAAGCGATGATATAAATTAGGTCAAATCGATGTGTTGACAATAGTACATCACGCATTCGAGTGTTTGAACTTGTAACGCGGCTGCATGGGATTTGTCGGATATAAAGTCGCATGTGGTTTTGTTGCATCCAATGGCAGTGTCCGCGATAAGGTAACGCAATGAGCTGCTTCTGGTTTGACAGCTCTAACGCAGTTCCACTTCAGACACCGCCAAAACAACCGCTGTGTTGGCTAGCGCATATTGATGTCTATTGTTATCAGTCAGATCCAGATAGTCAAGACTCTTCCAGTAGTTTACCCTGGGCTACGCTGCTGTCCAGCAGGATGGGGTTTCCAGTCGCCTTCACCACGTTCCCAGCTTTATCGAAGACCACCTTCAGGTATCCCAGGTACTTCCCAAAGGCAAAGGCTTGTACCACAGGGACATCTCTACCGTCCTCAGACCTCACCATGAAGGGATAGGGACCCGTCGGCACCTCTGAAGATGGGACACTCCCTACAACAACAAACAGGGCTCTTATCTTCTTCCCACTTCACTATTTCCCATTTGAACTCTATCATTGTGTCTTAACATTGACAAACTACTTTGACACTTGACAGTGTGTGCTTCATTCAAATTATGCCAATAACATATTTTCTTGCTGAACAAGAAACTCACAAAAATGTCACTGATATGATAAAACCCAAGAGGGTACTTATGAAAGGCTGACATGGTGAACATTGACCCTGTTTACACATCCAAATAGTTCAACTTTCTTTATGATCTAGAGCTGTAAATCACAGAGCTATGACAATGTAACAGTTGAATAATTGGGCACCCGTGTAGAGGAACGTATTGGTGTGTCCTCCAATGACCAGGTCCACCCCTCTCACTCGCTTGGCGATGTCTATATCCACGTCAAATCCAGAGTGACCAAGGGCGATGATCTTATTGTAACCAAGAGTGATCAGTTTATCCACCTGGACCTGCAAGGCTTTGATCTCATCCTCAAAGATCAAGTGTGGACCTGGGGTGTACACAATAGAAAAGTTTAATGTCAGTCACACAACTGAGTGACTTGATCTGAAATTCCTTGAATAAGCTAGTTAGTAAGCGAGCAACCCATCAAATGATCCATCAATCAAACAATCTATTTTACCTGGTAAGGATAAGACTGGAGTTTCCGCTGAGGTGTAACCTACCACAGCCACTATTTCAGGGCCCATCGTGAATGTTGTGTAGGGTTGATAGTAGCCACTGATAGTTGGGGCGAGTGTTGCATCTGCCTTGATGTTGGCACTGAGAACAGTGAAGTTCACCTTCTGCAGAAAAGGGCGGAGCAGGCCCTCCACTCCATTGTCAAACTCATGGTTTCCAAATGCCTGAAAGCCATGGAAAGATAACTATGATCTGTCTCACTACATGATTATGTGAATTATTATATCAGATCATGCTCTTTGTCTGTGTGTGTGTGCGTGTGCTTGTACGCGCGTGCATGAGCGTGTGTGTGCGTGCGCGTGTATGTGTGTGCGCGTGTGCGTGTGTGTGAGAGATACTGAGAGAGATAAAGTGTGATAAAATGTACAATACCTAATTCACTATGTCATCAAGGTTCATGGAAATGTCTTACCATCGCATCATATCCAAGCTTGTTCATGAAATATGCAGCTTCTTCCCCTTTGTAGTAGTTGAACCAGACAGTACCCTGAAACTGATCGCCAGCATCAAGCAATAACACATTCCGTTCCTTGCTCCGGATGTCTGCTATTGTAGTGAACCTCCTGGCCACTCCGCCAAAACAAGGACTACCTGGGCTACATTTCCCCGACTCTCTACTAATCTCCTCTATCCGAGCGTGAGCATCGTTGGTGTGTAGCAATGTAAGCTCGAACGTTGACACACTTTCAAAATGCATGAAGAAAAAGAGCGAAGCCAAACGCATGCACGGAGGCAGAGTCCTCCACACACCCATTTCACTCACGTAAAAGCGCGTACTGTGCAATAGGCTCTGTGCCTAGACTCTAGTTCCAAATGAAACTAATTTAGTAGGCGTGTACTTGGGTAGTTAATTGTTAGCACATGTTTAATTACATGGCTCCTCAGATGTTGTTGCTGTTGTCGTCTGTCCCTGTAATGTTCTCCACAAAGAACAATTGCAGGTTTAGTTGAAGAGTTAAGAGCACATGAATACCCATTCATGTTTTCCACGCAGTGCCTCACTATAATACCATCTGGCTACCCTGGCTTTATATGCCAAATATATGCAGACCTTTAATCAGTTTCATTAGCAACATCTTCAATGCATTCTGTTATCAGTGTCAATTTGACCTATCTCTGCCATGCCCAGATGTACGATATACATTTACACCCTCTTCAATGAATAGACTACATATCTGTCAATGTAACTTAATGTTAATGTGGCTCTGATTCAGAGGGGTTGGGTTAAATGTGGAAGACACCTTTCAGTTGAATGCATTCAGTTGTACAACTGACTAGGTATCCCCTTTCCTTTCCCTATACTTTCATGATGATGCTATGATTCTATACATTATATAAATACACTCATAATGAGTTACAATGCAGTCATTATGTAGTACGTAATAGCAGTTATAAACACACATAACAATACTATAAGTATCATAATACTGTCTCTGACACTTATTTGTGGCAAGGGTAGTGTATTATTAAACCCATGGGTATAATGCAACGTCAATGTTTTAGATAATGAGCTGCACAACATTTATAATGCATTATAATCACTGTGATTATGTCACCATCACATGGACCTGATCAAATTAAGGGCAGGATTCAATCCGTATCGCAGAAGGTCCTTTTAAAGGCATATGTCGGCTCAATCGAAAAATTACCTTTAAAATGACCTTAAAAGACATCGCCATGCCACACTTGGAATTCAATGAATGCAAACAAGGCATTGTGGAAATACATGTAACAGCAGACCAGAGCAAAGCATCCGTAAGAGCAAACAGCCAGTGATGAGTTTTGAGTGGGTGTTAGCTTTTTTGCCATTTTATTGGAGTAGAGGCAGCCATCAAATATGTAGAATGTGTAGATGAATGAATTTCAGGAAAAAGCTTAAAGTGGCAATCTACAGTTGCTACATCTATTTTTGTACGTATAAATGATTGATATATACCCATTGTTTCTTGAAGAATATAATTTATGAATGCATCATTAACATAGTTCAGCTGTCGTAGCCCATCAGAACCACAAATATAAGATGGTTTTAGCCCAATGTTTGTAAACAAAGTAAATGTAAACAAACACTGTATATCCTCTAAGCATGGTTAAAACTATAATTTTGATATCATGGATGGTCTGTCCTTAGCTCTGTCTATGAATTTGAGAGTGGTTACATTTCTCCAGGCCCCATCCCTTTACATTTTAGTCATTTAGCATATATATATTTTTCTGTAAAAAAAAAATTCATACTGGTCCCCCGTGGGAATCGAACCCACAACCCTGGCGTTGCAAACGCCATGCTCTATCAACTGAGCTACATCCCTGCCGGCCATTCCCTCCCCTACCCTGGACAACTGTGCGCCGCCCATGAGTCTCCCAGTCGCGGCCGGCTGCGACAGAGCCTGGATTTGAACCAGGATCTCTAGTGGCACAGCTAGCACTGCGATGCAGTGCCTTAGACCACTGCACCACTCAGGAGATTGATCCACACTCCAGTAATCCAGTGAACCTGATATTCCTGACTACTACAGGCTTTACTATGAGCTTTACGGATGACTGTCTATGGAGTCTATGGAATTGTGCTTTATGCTTCAGCAGGTCTCTAATTCTGGTTTGTTAACAATAAACTCTGATGAATATGCAGATATGCTATGATCCAGCATATCGGTGTCACAGGGTAGACACCAGCATAATGAGAAATGTCCAAAATACATGGACTCTTGGGGGTGTCCTAAAAATAGGGTTGCCCTCATTTGTTATGGGAGACCACTACAAAGGCAATGTGTTATTCTATTTGTGAGGTTGTAAAATGGACAGACCACATGAACATCAGACCAACAGACCAGATAGATACCTCTATTCCACCCTTGCTTGATTTAACCTGCTAGGCTCCCTGACTGAGAACAGTATGTAACAGTACCCTCTAGTGAATATTTAAGGTGAATCGAATCCTTCCATGAAGTACAGCTCCCTTTCAAATATGTTTTTCAGTGAAATCCTGATTCCCTTCATCAATTTCAATGCAAGTTTCAGTTCTCTTTTATCTCTTTAGGGAGGCTGTTGTTATGGACTCTATTTTGGAGCATTTTTGGCTATCATGTTGCCTGCAGCAAAACATTTTTTGGGGCCTTTGATTTATTTCCTTTGTGTGTGTGATGTGTCACAACAACACTGTGATACTTCAATGGGAAACCTGCACATTTATAATGAAGTAGTTAAATGAACATTTGATTAAAGAGTTAAAAACATCAACATTAAGCTATTGCAAGTTTATCAAGGGGTGGCAAGATCAATGCATAAAAACAAAAGGTAGAAAAATAGCTTTCAAGAAGAGCAAAATATAATATAATTAATAGGACCAAAATAAATTACAAAGTAATAGGAATATCTCACTGGTAGGTTTCAAACAAATGTGATGGGCGCAACATGAATGTTTGCAGAGTTTTTAAAGTCATATCAAAGTCTGTGCCACTTTAATGGCTCACCACAAAATTAACTGGTTGCAATTTTGGCATTTCCAGAGTTCACATCCTGAGAGATAAGGGACATACTTTTCTAATTTTGTCTTTGGGGTTAGGTGGGGATCCCAAAGGAATGGTGGCACACTGCCAGTTTATTAATCAAGTCCAGAGAGACTTCATAGCAGACTTCGAATGGAAGCATCAGTCATATTTTCAAGGCTTTCCTTGTGATCACAACTAATAGATACAGATACTAAAACTTGATCACGTTAGGAATTTAACCCCCCCCCCCCCCCCATTAATCATCTGAACTGATGCCATTGCTTATATCCCGACAAAGATGGAATGCCTTTAAACACAGTCACATCCTTATCATCAGAGTTTCAGAAATATACCGTATATGACTTCTGTCAACACTGTCAACAGTATAGACGCCGTGCCTCATTAGAAGTGAAGCGGAAATGTGATGTGAAGACTGCACGGCAGGTGGTGACACGTAACACTTCAAACACTCAAAGGTTCCACTGCAATACAACACAGGAGCTGACAGAGATAAACAGAGAACTTCTCTATGATGAGATCACTGGAATCAGTCTCAACTCGGAGGGTTTTCTATAAAATTACTTCCTTTACTTTTTTGTTTGTAGTGCTTAACAAAGCTTATTATTGCCTTACAAGGGTGTGCACAGTCCCAAAGTGGGAAAACTACCCTGAAGCCATAACTGTCAAACTATAATGAAGAACTTGGTGGACTGTAAATTCCTAGGCTTTACTTCATGTGTTCGCTCCCAGGTGCTGGTTAGCCGCCGCACAGCTCCACAAAGTAGCACCATCATCCACACGCAACTGCCTGAAACAATTCACAATAAGATAACCACATAAACTATACAGAAGTTACCTAGCTATGTAATTACAGGAAATATAACAAGGCACTGGAGGACATTGTACTATACAATTCCTAGTCTACATGTCCGAAATGAAAGCAGAATCGCATTAGTGGAAACCAAGAATCTTCTCAGGGCAGGCCTGGTTGAAGCTAGATATGTTTGAGTCGCGTCGGGGACAATTTTAGCATTTTAGCTAACCCTAACATTTTTCCTAACCTTAACCTAATTCTCCTAACCTGTCACGTTAATACTCCTAACTTGCTACGTAAGTTCTCCTAACCTGCTACGAAAAGTCACTTATGCTAGTCAAAACCAGCAGACCTGCCCTGAGAGCAGTCTGAGTATCCACCACAGGAGGTTGGTGCCACCTTAATTGGGGAGGATGGGCTCGTGGTAATGACAGGAGAGGAATATGTGGAATGGTATCAAATACACCAAACACATGGTTTCCAGGTGTTTGATGCCATTCCATTTGCTCTGTTAAGGCCATTACAGTGAGGGAAAAAAGTATTCGATTCCCTGCTGATTTTGTACGTTTGCCCACTGACAAAGACATGATCAGTCTATAATGTTAATGGTAGGTTTATTTGAACAGTGAGAGACAGAATAACAACAACAAAATCCAGAAAAACGCATGTCAAAAATGTTATCAATTGATTTGCATTTTAATGAGGGAAATAAGTATTTGACCCCTCTGCAAAACATGACTTAGTACTTGGTGGCAAAACCCTTGTTGGCAATCACAGAGGTCAGACGTTTCTTGTAGTTGGCCACCAGGTTTGCACACATCTCAGGAGGGATTATGTCCCACTCCTCTTTGCAGATCTTCTCCAAGTCATTAAGGTTTCGAGGCTGACGTTTGGCAACTTGAACCTTCAGCTCCCTCCACAGATTTTCTATGGGATTAAGGTCTGGAGACTGGCTAGGCCACTCCAGGACCTTAATGTGCTTCTTCTTGAGCCACTCCTTTGTTGCCTTGGCCGTGTGTTTTGGGTCATTGTCATGCTGGAATACCCATCCACGACCCATTTTCAATGCCCTGGCTGAGGGAAGGAGGTTCTCACCCAAGATTTGACGGTACATGGCGCCGTCCATCGTCCCTTTGATGCGGTGAAGTTGTCCTGTCCCCTTAGCAGAAAAACACCCCCAAAGCATGTTTCCACCTCCATGTTTGATGGTGGGGATGGTGTTCTTGGGGTCATAGGCAACATTCCTCCTCCTCCAAACACGGCGAGTTGAGTTTTGGTCTCATCTGACCACAACACTTTCACCCAGTTCTCTGAATCATTCAGATGTTCATTGGCAAACTTCAGACGGGCCTGTATATGTGCTTTCTTGAGCAGGGGGACCTTGCGTGCGCTGCAGGATTTCAGTCCTTCACGGCGTAGTGTGTTACCAATTGTTTTCTTGGTGACTATGGTCCCAGCTGCCTTGAGATCATTGA